ACGCAAATCGATCGCTACCAAAGCCAGCCCTACTGCTGCCAGCACCCCAGCCAAGAAGAAGAAGAGGAGGTACAAGCCAGGCAGTAAGTTATCACAGTTATTTATCACAGTTCTTTACTAACAATAGACAGCCATTGCGCTCAGGGAGATTAGGCGCTATCAGAAGGATTGCGAACTGCTTCTAAGGAAGCTGCCCTTCCAGCGTCTTTGTCGTGAGCTTGCAGCTAGCGTCAAGTCAGACCTGCGCTTCCAGGCCACAGCAATACATGCTCTGCAGGAGGCAACAGAGGCTTTCGTCATTGGTCATCTTGAGGGTAAGTCTTCCCTACCATCTACTGCACGTATCTAACAAATTTAGACTGCCAGCTGAACGCTATCCATGGCAAAAGGGTCACTATCCAGCAGAAGGACTCTAAGCTTGCACTGCACTACAAGCGAAAGTACACTGGCTTCAGCGTGAGAAAATAATTCAGGCATTGCAAGTAGAGCTTTAAGTAGACCCCGCAAATAGTGAGAATGTAGAACTAGTGTATTACCAACCTGGAATTTTGCACACTGTGATGAATCACTGTGATAAAAGTTATTGGCAGAACTTTCTAAAAATAGCTGATGACTACCCATTCCTAGACCCTACCTAGCTACCCTACCTATACCTATACCTAGTCACGTGCTACCCTACCTATACCTATACCCAGTCACGTGCTACCCTACCCAAACCCTTTGGGTAGGGTACCTCGTATACCCTACCTAGTTCCTACCCACTAGTCACGTGACTATACCTATACCCTACCCTACCCTACCCATCCGCCAGTCTAGCTGTATGCTGTTGCAGCTGCTACGTTGTGTGCGGGCGCAGCTGCAGCTGCTATGGTGTGCTGTTGCAACTTCAAAACACAAACCTTTAACAAACAAACCTTTAACACTCTATAACTTGCGTTGTAGTAGGCCTACAATAATAATATTTTGCTTATTTTAAATCTACAATTTTGCTCTATCTGTATGTGAAATTTCGCAATTTTTAAATATTTAATGCTAGTGCTAGCACTAAGGGTAGCTATATAACAATATTGCAATATTATTTTAAGTCTATTAAATATAGGCACTTAGTGTTTTAGCTGTTAGTAATATTAGCGCGAAATTAGGGCTGTTAGGCGCAAATTGGGGCTGTTGGGGCTGTTGAACGGCTGTTGCACGACTATGCCACAACTGTCAGCAACAGCCAGTCTAGGCCGGATTTTGAAAAACTTTTCCGATGATAGTTGATTTATAGTTGTAGGGTATAGAAATTTGGTGGGGTGGCTCATTCGCTTCAATGGCTCACTCGCTTAGTATTTACGTTAAACTAGTTATAAAGAATTTGTTTTCTTTTCTTTTTATATTAAAATAGAATGCATTTGCAGAAATAAGAGTAATAGAAGGCAAAGGGGAAGGATTTAGTAGGGTTTTAAGAGTTAGTTATTATAAGTCTATAACCTGTTTTATCAGTGAGCGCCCCACCTCAGTGAGCGCCCCACGAACACCAGCAAAGCGCATGCGCGACACTCAACGCGTAATGTCTTAACAACCACAACCTCACAAGCCCTATACTAAAGCTAACGTGCAGCTTGCCCTCTCTAACATTAAATACAACTTAATTATAAGCCTGCAACATGCTAAGGCAGTATACAGTGTTCCTTGTAGGACAATATAATAATAATATAACAGGAAGCCCTCTAGACATAACTACAAGCCTAGATTAAAGTGCCTAACAAAGCTAGAAGAGGAGGTGATTCTGCAGTGTATACTTAATAAGAACCTACATAGAGTACTGCCCTTAAAGCTACACGTACAAGATATAGCTAATAGACTGCTGCGCGACTGCGGCAGTAAGCCTGTTAGTAAATGCTAGGTTGAAAGGTTTATTAAGCGTACACCTAAGCTGCGCATGCGCTAGACTTATCTATACAATTACTAGCAAGCTCTCTACAAAGACCTAGCAATTATTACGCCCTAGTTCACGCTAGTTTAGAATATAAAGGCAAAGTACAGTATTATAGATAATAATATATATAACTTTAACAAGTCTAGCTTCCTAATAGGCAAGATATCTTTATAACTTATTATAACAGGCATAGAGAAACCTAGGAAAGCAAAGAAGCTTTAGCCTAGTAATTGTAAGTAGACTACGTTAATACAGGGCGTTAGCGTAATAGGGCGTGTTATCCTACCCTTCCTTATCTTTGCTAGCAAGGTTCTTATCTCTAACTAGTTTACTAAGGACCTCCTACGTAATTAGGTTATTTAAGTAAGCCTAACAGGCTAGATAAACAACAATCTAGCGCTTGCCTAGCTTAGTTACTTTAATACGCATGTGAGGCCTGTAGGAGTATATAGGCTGCTAATTATTAACAGCCACAAGAGCTATTGCTTAATAGATTTCTAGGATCACTGCAAGGAGAAGAAGATTATTGCCCTCTGTATGCCTCTACACTCGTCACACCTCCTGCAGCTGCTTAACGTTGCCTGTTTCTTGCTATTAAAGCACGCGTACAGTAATTAGATCTTAGCCTTAGCACGTGATTATATTAACTATATTCACAAACAGACCTTCTTACTAGCCTTTAAAGTAGCTTTTAAGAAGGTGTTTATAAGAGAGAATGCTTGCGTAGGGTTTTAAGGCGCTAGATTGTCTCTACATAATCTACAGGCTGTGTTATTAAAGCTAGATGTGCAGCTGCGTACACAAACTCCACCACAGCAAGTTGACGCTGCTTAGGAGGCAAAAACACCACACAACACTAAAGAAATAGAGGCGCAATTAACACTAGTTTAAAATAGGATAAAAATCTATTAAGGGTCTCTTGCAAGTTTACTAAATAAGCAGGTGCAGTAGCTAATAAAAGGCGCGCAGTAGATAGCTTATAAGATAGTATTAATGCACGTAGAGATAGTGCGCCTTAATACTACTACTAAAGTAGTAACAAAGTGTAAAAGTTGCAGGAGACGCTATATACAGGCAGAGGAGATATTAATAGTTAGCAAGGTATTAGACTTAATTGCTAAAAGGGAGGGTAGCAGATGTGAGGAGGGTAAGGAGCTAGCAAAGAGGGTGTGCGCAGGGCAATGCTGTAGCTGTTGTAGTAAGATTAGGCACAGCTCTTACACCTATAAGGTAGAAATTAAGGATATAAATAACAGTAACGCTTCTAAATAATACTATACTATTGTAAGAGTACAAAATTTGTGTTGTGGTGCTAAGCTACGTCGCTGCGCGTACGCCTCGCTGGTGTTCGTGGGGCGCTCACTGAGGTGGGGCGCTCACTGATAAAACAGGTTATAGGTCTTGTACAAAAGGATACAGAAAAACTACTCTACAATGCTACAGTTCCTTGCTCCTTATATATAACAGTTTAGTGGTAGTTTGGTCTGAACTTATGCTATGCGACAAGGGCCATGGTCATGAGTCGCTAGAACCGTATCCTAGTGGTATCGGGTCACTGTTCGTAGAGCGTTGTTACATAAGTCGCGTGCCTAGGGTGCTTTAAGAGACCTAGTATATTGCTGCAGCGCGTCGCACGCTTAGTGTCGCGTCTTGCTAGATAGCCTAGAGGGCAAGCTGTATATGTGTTTTATTTAAAGGCTTTTTTACGTTGTTGCGTTGAGGCATTACAGGGAGAGTGAAGTTCGGTGTGGTCTTGGCAAAAGTGGCCAGCTCGCTTGGGTGGCCAGCTCGCTTGTGGAGTACGTTATAATAGGGTTTAATAGGGGAGGGTCTTAGCAAAAGTGGGCGACTTGCCCTGGTGGGCGACTCGCCCTACACCTACATTAATCTAGTCAAGCCAGCGTTAGATAACTAGGGAGGAGCTCACTAGTGGTCACCTTGATCGTTCAAGGAAGCCTGCCACAGAGAGCAGATTCTGAAGGAGACTGCGCATGCAGAGGAGCTTGAAAAGGCCTCAGTGAAGGAGCCCAAGGCTGCCAATAAGCTATACAACAATAAGATTAAAGAACAGAAGCGCAAGGTGGCTACTGCGGCGAAGGTTGTTCGTGACAGAGAGCGCGCCAAAGAGCGCGCAGCAATCAACGCTCGCAAACTGCAAAGGGAGAAGGATAAAGAAGCTCACGACGCTTAAAAAGCCTCCCAATTGCCTAAAAAAGGCAAGCGCAAAGCTTTAATTACTCCTAGGATGCCTGCAGCTAAAAAGTGTTGTGTTGTGGCGCCTTGTTGTGGTGCTGTTGTTCTAAGTCCTCCTCTGCCAGCTCGCACCCACACCACCCGCAGCAGCTGCACCGCTACTAAGAATTATTAATCTTTTACTGTAGACTGTTGTTTACATTAATACATTACTCTACTACAAAATCTCGCGATAATAGCCATTGTACGTGGCTCAATAACCTCATTTCTGAAAAGTGACTGAGGGTGGTTGGGCGGGCGGCACGCGGGGCCGTGCGCCACAGCGTGTGCCACGGTAATCTCGCTTGTGCCCAAAGAATCAGAATACTGCGCGCGCTTACTGCCTAGCTCTGATAGGTACGCCTTGCCTGCATACTTGAGACCTACATGCGAGCGGCACCGCTATGGGGGCCGAATCGATACTGATCGCCACAGAATAATAATCTCTCACGGTGCATGTACACTGTCTGAAAACACTCCAGTTCCTTTGCCTGCTCTGGTCGAATTAAGAAATGATGAGGGCGACAGACGCACCCCCGCTTCACAGCGACCTGCCAGAAACGGTTAGGAGCCTGGATCGTTCTTCACTTTACAAATACTCTGTGCCCGAAAGCCCGCAACCCCATTCGACTGTCTACGCTCTCCATACCGTCGATGAGACATTGGAATCACCACCTGCATCTAGCAAGATCGAACAGTCTCAATTCCAGCATAGGCGCTGGTCGTTGCTTCTGCTTCTCGGATTGATTTTGATGACAATCGCTGGAGTAGCCGGAGGATTCATTGGAAAGACGATAGAGCGCAACAGCTCCAAGGGAACCACTTCGCTTGAAAGTGCATCAGCATCAGTACCAGCTTTATCCTCGTCATCCGCATCGTCAGCATCCCTTGCTACGCCCACACCCTCTAGCACTGCAGAAAGAGACGCTTCAGGCGTCTTCGAACGCACAATTGTGCAGCCATCTTCGGGCTGCAGCTCCGCAGACCCGTACCGCTCTTTCAAAGCCCGGTCTTTCATGCTCAACATTCCATACACGACTGTCTGCGGCCAAGGCTGGCTATCCTACGACCTCATTTCGATGTCTGTAGCGACACAGTCAGACTGCATAGAATCCTGTTCCCAGTACAACTCCATCAAGGAAACTGGCGATCGATCGTGTGTCGGGGCTGGCTTTATCCCGGCATGGTGGAATCAGACGCTGGCCATGGTGGAGAGCGGAATCACGCCATACAATTGCTTCCTCAAGACAAATACCAGTGGTATCGCACGGAACAATCAGAAGTTTGAGGTCATCGCAATATGTATGGAGGGTATGTGCGACAACATCGTCGGCTGAGAGATGGCCTAGTAGGGACTATGTTGTAGACTTAAACAACGTGCAGGTACGCCTTACCAGTAATGTTGTTGCGGTATCAAGGGCAAATATATAAACGAGTGTATTGTGTTCTTCCGTGTTGTTGTCCTGCTTGTATCTTTGCTCTCCAAGGCTCGCTGCGGGGTCTGTTTTGATAACGTGTTTTTGATGCAGCTGAGGTAAGAGGTGCCCAACAACATGAGGAAGTAGCACCAGACCACCGCCAATAACACGTGATCTGCTTCTCCTCTCAACCGTTACAGGATCACTTTAGTGCTGTTGACGATGTGCCGAATTCGTGCACAGACCCAAGGCGTGCATGGACCCGGCGGACACGGTACCTAAGCGTGCAGAGATGCCACCGATAAGACATCTTACCAAACAAACACGGTCATCACAGTTGCAGTACGCCTGCAACTGGCCCCATCTCCGAAACTGTTCAAGATACTCCGATCACTGTGCCCACAGAGCTTGGTCTGAGCCCCACGAAGATGGAGAGTGATGAGACGCTCACTTGTCGGTCCTCCAAAGCCGCGTAGGTCCGCTTAAAAACAATTCTGTAATTACCGGTCACTGATCTGCTGCAAGACCGCAGGCTTGTCTGCAATGTCGCAGGGTCAAGATGAAGTGCCAAAAGATGTCAGCAGATGTGCGGTGCGTTCGGTGTATGCGGAAGTCATTGCAATGCGACTACCTCGGACATTGGCGTGGTCGAAAGCACGGCTTCAAGTTGGTCATCACCATTTCCACCAGATGGCGTACCTGCTAATGCGATTGAAGGTTGCGAAGAGGAACTCCAGCGACTTAGAGAAATGGTTTAGCAACGGCAGAGGACAGCAAAGCTGTTCCTCCGACACCAGGGGAGCCACGATCATTTCCTCGACATGCCGATCGCGAGTCTGCTGTATATTATTGTTTGCAAAAGGCTGGCTACACCCCGTGACTTGCGGGGTGTTCCCGCGCACGGACGTTTTTGTATGGCAAATGTCAACCATCTAGAATTGAGAGCGATCGTGCAGTACAGCGTTTCTTGAAGCTGTCGATTTACTCATAATTAGGCTATTGCGATTGTTTTCTTGGTGTTGTAGCAATGGTCCGCACCACACGCAGCTACTTAGAGCCTGCAGTTCTACAAGCTGTACTCGATCGAATCGCTGCTGGGGTCAGCGACGCCCAAATATACACTCAGACTGGAGTCTCGCGAGATTGTACAGCATCAAAGCGACGGAATATGGCGTACTGGGGTCAGCCGTACGCACCGGCCCTTGTAAAGATTGGGCGGCCCCTGTCGCTCCGAGAGCGACACAGGACTCGACTGCGCGAGTATTTAGCTGGCCGCCCACAGGCATACCTCGAAGAGATGAGAGACTGGATGTTAGAAGAGTTTGGCATACATGTGAGCATTGCTACTGTGTCTCGTGAGCTGAAGCGGATAAAATGGAGTCGCAAGATCGCATCAAAGAAGGCAGCAGAGCAATCTGACGCTCTCCGGAGAGTCTTCCAGGCACGGTGCCAGCAAAACTATACGGCAGAGCAGATTGTTGCAGTAGATGAGAGTGCTTGCAACGAGCGTACTGGCGATCGCAAGTATGGCTGGGGCCCTGTTGGGCAATCAGTGTCGTTGAGTTACTCTATGAAAAGGTCAGAACGATGGAGCTTACTGCCAGCAATGACAGTGAATGGTTACCTTGCGCACCGCATCTTCCAAGGCGCAATCACTGCTGAATATATGGAGGAGTTCTTGCGCGATGATGTGCTGCCGCACCTCACGCCTGGTTACCACGTACTGCTGCTGGATAACGCGTCAATCCATCGATCGCCAGCAATTGTTCAGCTTTGTAGGAACTTCAGCATACAATTAGAGTACCTCCCGCCATACTCACCCGACTACAACCCTATTGAGAAGACCTTTAAAGTGCTGAAAAGCTGGATGAAGCGGCACTATCAACAGCAGGAGGAGTGGCTTGACTTTCGCTTCTTTATGGAGCTTGCTGTACTTAACAGTTGCTACAAAGTTGACTGCAGAAGCTGGTACAGGAAGTGTGGGTATGTAGGTGTTGACGATGCGTAGTCTCTCTCACTCGGCACAAGTACAAAGTACAGTGCTCTACTACCTCAACACTACAAGCATAGCAAGTTATGTACTTTATTAAGCATTGTACTTCTACTTGAGATAACAAGACATTTAATTCCCGCTAACTTCTCCTAACGGCATCCTCTCTTCTTGCTCTCGCTGCTCACGTAGTCGCTGCACCTGATTCTCTGGATAAGGACTACCGCTTAGTTCACTATCTGTTTCACACTCTCTAATAATCTGTTGATTTGTTAGTGTTAAACCAGCATAGCTTCTTCTCTATTCATGCGCCTTCCTCCGCATATGCGCATGCATTACAGGGATTTGCTTGAAGTGCTTAACCCACGTTAAGAACGACATGCCGTCTTCGTTGTCCATTAGCATGTTGATATTGTACTGGTGGTTTGTGACAACGAGCTTCTTGATCTCCTTTATCGCATCCACCTGGTGTAGGGATGAGGCGAGCCAGTAATCGAAGAAGTTGTGAGTATGCTGCTCCAGCTCGCGGTGAGTACAATCGAAGTCTCGCCATACTCGCGGCTGATGATACTCATGCTCCAATTGATGTTGACACTGCTGCTGCTGTGGCTGCTTCAACTGAGCAAGATGGCCGACAAGTATCGCCTTTGTAAGCTTGTCGATGCTAGAGTTTGAGCCTGACGACGCTGGAGATGACTTCCTCCGCCGCTTGTTCTCTCGTTCGACGCGGTCTTTCGACATAATGAACTGCAGCTGGAGGTCCTGCGATGGCTCTTCTACAGTACACTCCTGCCGCGTGATAGCGCTCGCCCAGTTGGAGACGCTGTTGCCGTTGAGAGGATAGTGATCGCCAACTCGCTCAACTTGACGACCTGGCGGCAAGCGCACCCAGCAAACGCCTGGGTTGTTCGAACAGCGCTCGTTCTGACATCTCCAGTGGTCTCTTATACCAATGGCGTTACCAGTAGCAAAGCGCTCGTTGGTAACAACACCAGCAAGACCCTCTTCCATAATCGCAGTAACAATGCCTGGCCGACGAGCACTTCGAGCTAGTTGAGATGCCGGCTGAGTTGATGGCTGAGGCATCTGCTGCTCTCTCAACACTAAATCGAAGTCACAGGTCATTATCTGGCTGCTCTCTTTATCCATTTCAGCCAGCTCCTCTTCAAAATCAAACCAATTTCCTACAACACTTCGCCCAGCAGCATTTTGCTGTCGCTGTAGTGCTATAGTACACCTATCAGATTTGGCTTGGCGGCCACTGGTATAGTAGAGCGTTGCTGTTAAGCTGTCAATGATCGCTACTCGCGGCAGCTGCTTATCTACGACACCATCCGCCCATTGCCACACCCTGTCCTCATCAACCGTGTATAGCGGCTTATTACGCTTCGCAACAGCTGCTTGAGGAATTGGATTCTTCCCTAGCGTCCACCAAGCGCGATAGTTCCAATGCAGGTGCGGCTCCTCGTCGATTCGTTCTGACTCTGGACGCTGTGCCTGGCTTGATTGAGCGGACACTGCAGTAGCTTCACCATGTGAGTCCGCAGTAACGTCCTCTACAGCGGTGGCAGCAGCTAACGCATTCTCAACCTGCTCATCCACCTCGTTGTCATCGTCTGACCCAGCGTCGGCCGCCTGCTCCTCCACATCCTCATCCTCCGCCACGAACAGCGCCGCCTCCAGCGGGCTTGGCGCATCTTGATTTTGCGGCGGAGTCGGTTCTCGCAAGCGTACGAGACGCCTTACTGTTGACGGTGGAGTGGGAGGAGCGCGATTGACGCCTTGATCGAATATTTGAGTGGGTCTCCGATGACGTTTCGCAGGTCTGCTGGTCTTGCTGCTCGCCGGCGGATCGTTGTTCCAGTTCGATTTACGCTTCATGGTAACTTTAACACTAGAAAATTATTGCAGTACCTTAAAAGTGACTATCTAAGCTTCTTTAACGCGTTCTGTTTATGCTAGATGTGGTAGGATACTGTTCGTATTCCGATATGCTGATAGCCTACCGTGCCGGAGCTCGTGCCGCACGGTTCCGCGTTCCGCACGCAGCACCCACCTCACGCACCATAGCAAAATGAGGCTGTAGAAACAGCCACGATAGTAATTATCACGAGGTTTGTTAGTATTATAGTCAATTGATGTATGCAATTCATTTGCCGAAAGCACTATTTATATAATGTTGCGGTGCGGCCGCTGCGGGTTGTGTGAGTGCCGCGAGGCGGAGCAGCCGCTGCAGCAACAGCACCACTTCGAGGCTGCGCAGAACGACGCTTTTTGGCTGCAGGTGCCTGAGGTGCTTTTGAAGCTTTGCGCTTGCCTTTGTTAGGCAATTGGCTGGCTTTTTGAGCGTCGCGAGCTTGTTTATCCTTGAGTCTTTGAGCTTTGCGAGCATCAATCGCTACGCGTTCCTCCGCGCACTTGCGGTCACGCACTTCCTTCGCCGCAGCAGCTGCCTCGCGCTTCTGTTCTTTGATCTTGTTGTTGTATAGCTTATTAGCAGCTTTAAGCTCTTTGACGTTAGCCTTTTCAAGCTTCTCTGCATGCGCGGTCTCCTTCATAATCCACTCTCTGTGGCGGGCTTCCTTGAACAATTGAGGCGACCACCACTTCGCGCCACCCTAGTAGTCTAACAATGGCTTAACTAAAGTAAGCGCTTTGCTTTTCTTATCCTGCTTCTTCTTAATTAAAAGCAACTCTGTAAGGCCTTGTACGTCATTGTTGAGCAGCTCATTCTTAATCGCGAGGTGGTGTACCTCGTGGTGGAGAGCTCTTGCTTCATTAGAGTACCTATCGCCCACAACAGAGTCCAACTTCCTTATTATTTTGCGTGCTGTTGTACCTGCCTCAGGCGGCGGAGGGGTGGACGGAGTGGCAGCTCCTTTGGGGAAGCGCTTGAGTACTTTATCGCAATTAAGCGGCTGAAGGCCTGTTGCCTCAAAGGCTTTGAGTATGTTGTCTTTAGTAAACGATTGCAGCCAAGCAGGCCAAAATAACAAGAAGAAGCTGCCTTTCTTCACCAGCAACAAGCCTTTGGAGCGCTGAGTCTGCTGTGTCAATTGCTGTGAGTACGCTGTCGATAGCGGCTTGAAGAGGACAACGTCAGCTGGCTGGAGCGTGTGAGTACTGTGGGGAGGAAATATCGCCACAAGTATCTTATGTTGATGACAGTACGTCAGAAATGAGCGGCTTATATAGCTGCCGTGACCGTCAATAATGAGCAATCGCCACTTGCGACGAGCTGAGGCCTTGGTTTCTTCGTCAAAGACTTGTTGTAGCCATCCGAGGCCAGCGTCGTCGTTGCTCCAGCCACTTGGGGTGACTGTGACGAAGCAGCGATGCTTCAATTGCTTGATATCTCGCACCCATGCGTCTTGGACGTTGCCGGAGTCTCCAGCCATAATCAGGCCTGGAGGAAGTGCGACTCCAGAAGCCCCAACGCACGCTATAAGCGTTACCCACTCTCTGTTGCCATCCTCTAAGGCCTGCCGGAAGCGCTTATTGCTGTAGCTTGTCCTGCTGAACACTTGTTTCTGCTTGCCAATCTTCCCAATCATGAAGCCCTTCTCATCCATATTGTATGTGTGCTCAGGCTCTATACCCTTCTCGCTTATTTTGAGCTCTAACATGTCAAAGTACAAGCTGTACTTACTATAGGAATCAGCGGCGTGACGTTCGGAGGCCATGGCGGAGGTCCACTGTGGAGTAAGCGCTTCGTGATGCCGCTGGAC